GAAACAGCCACTCATACCATCTTCGAATGCGAAGCAACAGCTCAAAGGAGGTTTAACCTAACGTAAGAAAAAAACTTAGGGAATCAAATTGCAGCAGCTACAGTCAATGACTTGATACATCTAAGAAGAAAGATTGTGTCTATTGACTGAACTGAGGAACTAAAAAGGTACAATAAGCCAGAACGCTGCAGTGCCTTGGGAGTACAAACCCCACTTCCCAGTATCCTTTTCTACCATAAAATACCATACCATCGGGTAATGGGTTCTTTGTCAATTTATTGGAAAGAATGTAATTTAGTAGCGTAAAAGGTAAGGTTTCTTTAACCAAGTCCCGAAGAATATCGAGTATCTGCGAGGAGTGAAGTGACTTCTATGTTCCTGGTTATGTATGATTTGTTTGTTCTGTAGTTGACAACCTGAAGTACAAAACAAGAAGGAAGTATTATAGGATATCGATGTTTCCATATAAAAGCAGAGAGACCAAAACCAGACGCCAAAATGGATGCAGTTTAAAACAAAATATAAAGGATCAGAAAAACAAAGAAAACACGCAGAGGGCTGGCGATGACCTCAGCTGTTTGTCGACCCATAAAGCTAATTACTTTCTTTCATCGATACGAAACTTTTCTTTATTTTCCATTATTAGAACTCAGTCAGTTAACAGAATATTCAACACATTTCGATATTTCTTTACATGTTATTTAAGTCTTATTTACAAACATTCAGTTAGATTTTATGCTATGTTGCAAAAACAAGAATTAATTCAAACTGCCTAAAACTGCATATATTGTTTATAAATGAACATAACTTATAGAAAAACATCATCAGGAGCAAATATCACCGACGGGGTGCTGCGTCACACACAAGCTCGTTAATTTTTGGCACTTTTTGAAAGATAAAGTGAATTAAAATGCAATAATACAGTAAATAAAAAAAGCAAATAAGTCTTTCATGTGTTTAAAATATAAAACTTATACCGTTAGAAGACAAAACAAAGGCCAAAAAAAATTGCTACAAACAACGACTTTGGGGGGGGGGGCGCAACGATTTAGGCGTTGACACGGCACTCATCACTGTAAGGTACAGGTCCCGGGTTCGAATCCAGCGGCCCTGCATTCAAACCCGAAATACTTACAAATGGGCTTTTTTGATACAACCACTGTTGTTGTGCTGTTGTGAACCCTCGTAAAAAAAAAAAAAAAAAAAAAAAAAATTTGATTGTCTGTAGTAATTGTTTAATTTTGTTTTTTTCATTGTCAAAATAGATGTAATGTTTTATAAACATCAAAATTTATTGTGCATTAAATAATTAATCATTCATCACTGTAGGTTTATTGTTAGTATTAATTAAGGTTTTTATTTGAGATAAAAAAAGCTAATGGCACGAGCGGGATTCGAACCCACGATCTTCGTCTAGATACGCCGCTGCTCTACCACTTGAGCTATCGTGACCTCGATCCTCTCGGACATCAACTTCCTATCTCAACCCCACCTTATGAGTTTTCCCTCCTTTTTGCCATTTTTCAAATGTCGTGTAATCGGTTTTGATTATCGACGACAATTGAAATGGCGACGGAGAGCTTTAGAGAGCAAGTAGTAGAGCAGCGGCGTATCTAGCCGAAGATCGTGGGTTCGAATCCCGCTCGTGCCATTAGCTTTTTTTTCATCTCAACTAAAAACCTTAATTAATTTAAATGTATTAATTGGTCAAGCGGACCACGAAATTAGTGAATTTATCGTTAGTGTGGAATTTTGTTTATTCTTTGTGACTTAGTGTTTTAATATTACAATAATTAATTTCCTCTATATTACACGGTTTGTTTTATTGTCTTATTTTTATAATTTGGTATTTTTTTCCAGTATTTATTTAACAGGGATATTTCATGAAATCATCGTCATAATTAAATAACGAAATGAGATCCGATTTTTTTCATTTTTAAACTCTCCCCGGAATTTTCCTTGAAAAAATAATATTCCCGCCGGGAATTACAATGATATTAAACACGATAGCGGGTTAAAGGGAAAAAGAGGAAAATTCGGTTCGATTTTCCCCAATTTTTCTCCCCCGGGCGTGGAACGATTTTCGGTCTGCGTCAAATTGGTTTCTCAAAGTAATAGCGCAAGGCTTTGTAAATCGCCAAAGACGCTAAGAATCTTCCCCGTGAGGATACTAACAAGTTTCTCTCCGCAAATCTCATTTCGGCCGAAATCTGATCCTCCTTTTGGCCCTCGCGAAGCAAGGAGAATTATTCCCCGACGCACCGGAACAAAAATCTATTAAAACTTCGTTGTTTTAAAAAATAGATCATGGACCGAGTCGTGTTTAGATCAAGCTTGTAAAAAGATAGATTAATATATAATACATCTTAGTCCTGCAGGCTGTCATATATTGATAATAATCATCCTGGTCTACCAGTAAATTTTCCACAGTGATTTATCGCGTGAAAAAGTCGTTCTACAAATCGAAAAAGTCTGTGGTACCCCAGGGATCCATTCTCGAGTACATTCTATTATATAGAACTCTATATAACTATTTATATAGAATATAAAAATAAATCAATAACGTTCTTTATTATGACCTTGTTCTTCTGTCAATCAAGAGGGGACATCGGGGTGAACAGCTAACATTTACTAAATTTAAATTTAACCATTTACAGACATTGTTGTATCTAACAATATAATTGGAAAACGTGTCATCTTGGTGTGGTTAATCGGGAGGATAGGTTTAACCTACGTTTCACATCAAATAAAGATGCTGGGTGAAAAGGAATACATCAACACTGTTTAAATCTAAAAATAGATCCCTGGTCTGCAGAAGCTGAGGCTAGAAAGAAAAAGGTCATAGTTATCAGGTTGGGCATAGGTCGCACCAGCATCTGACAAGAGCACTGTGAATGAGACTACGCCGCAAAGCCGACACCCGTTTTCTAGGAAAATATATCACTGTGGAGAACTGAATGGTGATCCAATACCTCAAAGCTTTAATCTTTATTTGAAAGAATGTATTTAGTAGCAAGAATGCAGAGGCAAATACCTTAACTCCCAAGGAATACCGAAGACAATCGAGAAATAAGATATTTGTTTTATGACTGTATTTATTTGTTTGAATAAAAAGGCTAACGAGTTCTTACTTTTGTATGAAAGAAGAAACCTGGAGGAGTACTCAATGAACTGTCGAATGTAATTTATTTGCGTTTCCCCATTTTCTTTTAGGAATATTGAGAATTCTGAGGCAATGTGATTGAAGTGTTGTTTTTGGATGGAATTTATTAGCGTGAATAGAGAGGCTTCTTCTGAACCGATTCCGACATATATTGATTATTCAATGGTAGCGTGAATGAGGTCTTATATGTGTGAATGTATTTATTAGCGAGAATAACAAGGCTTTTTCTCAATCGCCTACAAGAATGTTGAATAATGTGTAAAGTTTTAATAAAATTTAGTGTGTGTGAATGCAATTTAGTAGCGTGTTAGGGGGCCTTTTCCCCCCCAATTATTTTGGATATCTAATAATATGGGGCAGTTTAAATGAAGTTTGGTGTAGATGAATGTAATTTATTAGCGTGAATGTTGGCTCGAGTAATATGGGACAGTTTAGATGAAGTTTAGTGTATATGTGTGTGTGTGTGTGTGTGTGTGTGTGTGTGTGTGTGTGTGTGTGTGTGTGTGTGTGTGTGTGTGTGACGACAAATATTGATTATTCAAGGGTAGCGTGAATGAGGTCTTATGTTTGTGAATGTATTTATTAGCGCGAATAACAGGACTTTTTCCCAATCACCTAGAAGAATATAGAATAATATGTAAAGTTTTAATAAAATTTAGTGTGTATGAATGCAATTTAGTAGCGTGTTAGGAGGGCCTTTCCCCCCCCAATTATTTTGGATATCTAGTAATAAGGGGCAATTTAAATGAAGTTTGGTGGAGGTGAATGAATTTATTAGCGTGAATGAGATTTGATGAGCGTGAAAGTAGGCTCGAGTAATATGTGACAGTTTATGTTTATATATATATATATGTGTGTGTGTGCGTGTGTGTGATTTATGAGCGTGAATGGAGGGGGTTTCTTCCCCAATTATTTTCAGAATATCGAGTACCCTTAGGCGGTATGAATGATGTCTGATAAGGGAATGTAATTTATTTGCGTCTTCCTAAAAAACATCGAGGAGTATAGAGCATTCTTTAGCAGTGTGAGCAAAGTTTGGTATTTGAATGTAATTAATTAGCGCGAATAAAGGGATTTCTGACCCAATTATGTCGAAGAATATCATGTATTCTGGGGTACTTAGAGGTAATTCATCCCCAATTATTTCTTTCTAAATTCAGCGTTCCGGGGGCAGTGTGAATGTAATTAATTGGCGTGAATATAGGATTTTTTTCTATTATAAGAGGTTTGTCAACGGTATGTATTTATAATACTTTTTGTTAAAATGTGAGATATTATAAAACAATAATTATTTTTCTAAACAATCTCGTATTGCTTTAGTTTCGTGAAATGGGAAAAAACATCCGTTGTTCTATTTTTCAGTAAGCCTTTGGTAGGCATTTTACATCTCATATTGCAAATCTAACTGTGCGACTTTATTAGATTTGCAAAATAAGTTTCAATATTAAAACAGAATGAGGTGGTGATAACAGCCCTTCAAAAGCCCTTAAAAGTAAAAAGTTAAATGATGTGTTGTTACTTAGTCATTCTTCTTGGTATTTAAGTTCATATTTAAAGGATTAACTGGTTTTCAAGCATTTTAATTAAGGTTTGATTTAAATAATCTTCCCACGTTTCAAACTTGTAACCAAGCCAAATCTACTTTGATCAAATTGCCCAATTTCCACCAGGCTTGCTGGTGTAATTAAAGTGTTTCAGTAGCTCATTAGGGTGTTGTGGATTTTGGGGGTGTGCCGTCGACTATTAAAACTTTCTAGGAGCGATAATGGCCTAATGATATACGGTGTGTACCTGTACGAGATGAAAATTCAACCTGGGTTTTTCTTTTTGATTTCAGCACAGTACAGATCGCCTCGAATCACAGAACACCCTTCGGACGTCGTCGTGCCCAAATCCGAGCCGGTCACGCTCAACTGCAAGGCGGAAGGGAGGCCGGAGCCGAGGATCGACTGGTTCAAAAATGGCATAAAGCTTGATCTGACCAATCCTGACACGAAGACGAACCGAGTAGTGCTTCCTTCCGGGTCGCTGTTCTTCCTGAGAGTGGCACACGGAAAAAAGGAGCAGGACGATGGTGTGTACTGGTGCGTCGCCACTAACCAGGCGGGAAGTGCCACAAGCAGAAACGCAACACTACAAGTTGCAGGTACATCCAATCTACTTTTTCAAAGCATGAAACATGTTAAAGTTTGAAATCTTTTTGAAGGAAACAAATGCATGCATTATTAACAAAAAACTGTTAAATTTGCAAATAATGTGAACTATATACCTAGATCCTATGTTATGCAACCTAATTCGGAAAATAATGAATTTTTAATATTTATTTTCCTTTTTAGTCAAATCGTAAATTTGGTATGATATAATATAAACAATAAAATACCAATTTTACTTGATCCAGATTTATAATTGTTTTCAATCGCGTACAGTTGGACCACTATATTTTATTTGTTTTTTTCACGTTTAAAATCTCGTTTGTCTAATCTCATTACACTAAATAATACCACTTGTAAGTACTTATTTTACTATGAAAAAATAAACAAAAAACCATAAAATTATTTATTATTAAACATAATTTATTGCAAAACGAACATACAGCCGCACAATTCTTCCTCTAACATTTTCTTCGCTCTCATTCTTTCTTTCGAATTTCTTTTTTTCTTTTTCTTTGTCTGTTTATTACTTTGCTTTCTTTAATTAAATTCTCTTTCTCCCTCATTTTCTTTTTGCATGATCCCTCTCCCTCTCACTCTCTCTCTCCGTTCTCTCTCTCCCTCCTTCCCCTTCCCTCTCTAACTCCCACCATCTCTCTATATTCTCTCTCCCTTCCTCTCTCTCTTCCCTTTCTCCCTCCCTCTCTCTCGCTCTCTGTTCTCTCTCCCTCGCCCACTCTCTCTCACTCTCTGTTCTCTCTTTTTTCCCTCTCTCCCTCCCTCTCTATCTTTCTCATCTCTCTCTGTTCTCTCCCTCCCTCCTTCCCTCTCTCGCTTTCTCTCCCTTTCTTCCCTCTATCCCTCTCTTTCTCTCTTTCTCATCACTCTCTGTTCTCTCTCTCTCTTCTCTCTCTCCCTTCTTTTTCTCTCTTTCTCATCGCTTTCTGTTCTCTCCCTCCCTCTCTCTTTTTTTCATCTCTCTCTGTTCTCTCCCTCCTTCCCTCAATCTCTCTCTCCCCATCTCTTCCCTTTCTCCCTTCCTCTCCTCTTTTTCTCATCTCTCTCTGTACTCTTCCTCCCTCCCTCCTTCCCTCCCTCTCTCTCTTTCTGTCTCTCTCTTTTCTTTCTCTCGCTCTTTCTCACTCAATGTCTCTCTCTCTGTTTTCTCTCTCTCTCTTTCCCTCTCCTTCCGACTCTCTCCATCACACTCTGTCTCTCCCTTCCTCTCTCTCACTCTTTCTCGTCCTTAATTCTTTCTATTTCGTTTTACTTACCTTTTTATTTAGCCTGTTTATGATTAAATTCTCTCTTTCTCCCTTTCCTCACTCACACACTCGTTTCCTTCTCTCTCTCTCTCTCTCTTCCCTTTCTCCCTCCCTTTCTCACTCTCTCTCACTCTCTGTTCTCTCTCTTTTCTCTCTCTCCCTCCCACTCTATCTTTCTCATCTCTCTCTGTTCTCTCCCTCCCTCCTCCCCTCACTCTCTTTCTCTCCCTTTCTTCCCCCTCTCCCTCCCTTTCTCTCTTTCTCATCACTCTCTGTTCTCTCTGTCTCTTCCCTCTCTCCCTTCTTTTTCTCTCTTTCTCATCGCTTTCTGGTCTCTCCCTCCCTCTCTCTTTTTCTCATCTCTCTCTGTTCTCTCCCTCCTTCCCTCAATCTCTCTATGTCACTCTCTCTCTCTCTCTCACACTCATTCACTCTTTCACAATCACCCAACCTCATTAACCCTTACTCCAGTCCAGAAATATATTCCAATATTAGATATAACAATTTTATAGGTGATCCTCAGTTGAAACTGAACTATAAATGTAGACCAAGTTTAACATAAATTTATGATATGTAATAGTGTTATGTATCGTTTGGAAGGAAAACACTCATTTCAATTTTAGTTTAAAGACGATAATGTGATCAGTGTGTAACAATTGTTTTGACCCTTTGAAAAGAGCGATTTTCCCGGTCCCTTTTTAATAATAGCGATGTGCCCGTTTGCCCGGAAACTGTTTAAAACTCCGTTGAAGTTTTAATAAGTTGGGCTTTTGAAACAGCTTGATGCCGAACTTTGGTGACAATTTCCGGCTTGTCCGAGGGTACAACCTGTTAACATGTTAGAGTTCATGAAACGGACCGGGGAAGAACGGCGACCCTTTAATCTTAATGGAATACACGATGTCCTTGCGGCGGAATGAGAAAACGACGTGATTCGCAAACTGATGTTCCCATTAATGGACGTTTTCGTAAATTTAACCAAGCTTAATTTTCCGTTTCGATGATAAAGCCGATCCAATAACAAAACAGACAAAGTAGATAAAATAAATACAGGATCCGCTTTTGAAAAATCGACTGATTTGCATAACCACCTTCTGGTTTGCAAGGCTTGTTCCCGGCAGTAAAACGCAGGCACTCTCGGTGATTTGCTCGGATCCAGTTATAAATCTGCCTTAGATCGCAAGCTATCTTGGCCGAAGAAAATTGATTCTATTAGAACCCCGTTCTAACAACGGCGCGCGGGATTTTTACACAATTTATGACATAGCACGCGCGACGAATCTTACTTACTCCTTTGACAAACGAGAAAATTGAGATTATAATAAATTGATAACAAAATACCATTATAATAATGTATTTATGAGCTTATGATATACATTTTACCGCATTTACATTTGAAATCACGTTTCAAATTTAAATTATCATGGACAGTTTTTATAGGAAGAAAATGTATGGTTGGTGCATTGAACAAACGAACCATTACAAAAAGAAAAAAAGCACTACCAGGTTAAACACTATACAATTTAATTAAATTTTAATATACCTGCATTGCAGGTTTTAGGCTATTGAACAGCAAGTTCTTATCATATCAAATACCATCATATTTCAAAGCTGTTCTTATTACATATATTCTGACGGACACCGCAAACCGGAAAATTTCTCTTTTGTGGTGAACATGAGCGAAATTGAATTTCTTGTCATCGTCTAAGGGATATGGTGGGCGGTTTCAGATTTCGAGAACAGTCAAGTCTTAGATTGTAAGAGCTCTCTCGAGTTGTCAAATCGTCAAGTGCTCTTCTAGACTTAGTAAAAGAGAGGCGAAAGAAAACCGTCATTTTCGTAATGGTCAAAAACTTAAAGTATATGAAACAACGATAGATTTTTTAGGGGCGTCGGTGGCAGCAACGGTTCAGGCGTTGGCACGGCGCTCATCACTGTAAGGTAAAGGTGCCGGGTTCGAATGCAGGGCCGCTGGATTCGAACCCGGCACCTTTACCGACATACTTACAAATGGGCTTTTTTTTTCAAAAACAGTGGCACCCGGATGGGGACCGCGGTAGCCGAGTGGTTAGCATGAGAGACTCTCACGCCCCGGTCGTGGGTTCGATTCCCACCGTTGCCCCTGGCCCTTTTTTCACAATAACCCCCCCCAAAATTGAACACACATATACGAATTGTCACATGGCTAATATACATAGTTCATAACGAAAAAAAAAAAAAAAAAAAAAAAATGTTAAAATATGCCGGTTGACATGACCTCTGCTGATGCGAACCCTCGTAANTTCGATTCCCACCGTTGCCCCTGGCCCTTTTTTCACAATAACCCCCCCCAAAATTGAACACACATATACGAATTGTCACATGGCTAATATACATAGTTCATAAAAAAAAAAAAAAAAAAAAAAAAAAAAAGTGGCACCCGGAGGGTTGACATGACCTCTGCTGATGCGAACCCTCGTAAAACAAAAGAAAAAACATACAAACCTGTCTTACCCCTACTTTCCAGGGTAATTCAAGGCCATTGTTCACATTAATGGAATATCTGTAGTTTTTTTAAGGTTACCTTTTATATTATTTAACTTGTTATATTTTTAATTAAATATTATCTTTATATAAGAATGATACCAAGTTTTATTTAATGTACCGTTAATTAAACTAAGACATATTCAGCAAAGGTAAGCTCGAGAGTGTACTTTAAATTCTAATTATTTCCATAAAAATGTATACTGAAGCAAAACTAAAGTTTAAAATTTTTGTATTTTAAAAACAATTTTAAACATTTTGTATTTTTGTTTATATTTGCCTCTTTTGGATGACGAGTTTGCCGACTGGTATAGTAGAACTGCCTAAAACTTAGCGTGTGTGTACGAGCGTGTGCTTGTTCCCGTGACAGTGGGATAGAAATACCCGGATTTGTGCCAAACCGAATCATTTTTTTAAAAAATACCCATACAAAAAAATATATATTGAAAAGGTTGTACGTCGAACCGGTTTCAACGGCGATGAAGATTGAACTTCGGATACGTTCAGCTGCTCAAAGTCTTCCAAGTACTGCCAAAACGGGACGATTAATATTTACTTCCAAAAGATGATTTAACGAAATCTGCAAATCTTTTCAGTTTAATATTTTAAATGAAAATCAATCAGATTTGTGTCATTCTGACGTATCGTGCTTCGATATTTCGTTAATTTTGGTCCTGATGAAACTCAAACCTTTGAAGATATATTTATTCAGACAACGAAAGATTAGAATGATCTATTTTTCAATTGGCTAATTAATTATTTGTATTAAACTTATATATAATTATTAATCTATAATCATACATAAATACTGGATTAAAAACACTATAATACCATATATTAAGGAACTCTTGTTGTTAGTCATCCTATATGATTTTTTTCGATTGAGCGTAACCGATCGATTAAAATCAATTAATTTATTAACTTAAATATCTCAAGTAATGTCGACCGATTTATGCTCATTGCGGACCAAAATAGGTTATTAATCATTGCTACAATTTGGAATAAATAAACGCTGCACTTGTTGTTTTGTTGAGAATTAGAAATCTTAAGAAGTTGAATCGATCAGCTAAAGGTTTCGTTTCACGTACGCGTCATCATCAATCAACAAACAATTCGTATCCACTGTTCCGAACGTCATATAAATCGAAAAAATCCAAATATCCAACTGACAATAAACCAGACGTTATAATTCTTTGGAACTACAATAT